CTTGTGCTGTATCTAAAAACTAAGCAACGGAGCTTAGAAGCATTTGTCATTGGAGTAATCTTACGTGGCATGAGAAGTTCTTATTTTTTTAGAACCGGAGCTTCAGCAAGCAACGGTGCTTAGCACTGTGAAATTTGAAATGGAGAGCTTTCATTGGTTCGTGCGGATCTTTGCTGGAAAGTGCACAATGGTTTTGCAAACAAAAGAAACCATCACCGCCACCTTCTCCACGGTCTCCGGATCCGAACCGTCGCCCGCACTGCACCGCCATGTTGTCCACCGTCTCCAGATCCGGACGCGCCCAGGCTCGCGCCGCTTCAGCCCCGTCCTAGCCAGCAACAGCCGCCGCCTGCTCCGAGAGGGTGGGATTCGAGTGGGAGTGAGAGTGGGTGTGAAGGAGAAGATGGAGGAAGCTGTGGAACGAGAGAGAGACCCCCTGGAGCCGCCGCCTGTTATATTTTTTATTATATAATTTTTATTATTATTGAAATATGAGTTGTAAAAAAATTGAGGTGTCAAAAAGTGTAATATGAGTTGTAAAAAAGTTGAGGTGCTTATAAGCAATTGCCATTGGAGCAAAAGTTGTAAAAATGTAGTATGAGTTGCTTATAAATGACGTGGCACAGTGGGACCCATTTAAAGTGGTTGGGAGTTGCTTATAAGCAACTCCCACTGGAGATGCTCTTACGGCCTTGGTTCCTTGGAAGCTGGAGTGGTGCGGTGCAACTGGGGATTTGAGTCTCAATTCTCGACACTTTTAACCCTAACTTCCCAAATACATATGGGGCAAGGACACTAAAGTCGTAAGACTCTTAAGTCTTAACATTAGAGGTATTAATTTTAAAATGTTAATTTTTTTTAAAATAATTAAATTGGGAGAGGTTATTAAATTAGGTATGGGGATGGGGACAAGGTGGGTAAATATATATCCGTCCTTGTCCCCAGTTTAATATTTCAGATTTTACACATACCTGTATCTGGTCAAATCAGGTATTTCTTGTCAAAGTCGAGGCGGGTTTGGATATTACTCATGAGTACGAGTTTATTTGTCATCTCTAGGTGAGGAACTTGTTTTCAATTTTGAATTTTTTAGTTTGTGGCTTTTTCTTTGATTTGGTCATTCATTTTGTATTTTAATAATAATAGTCAATCTTTTGAGTGCAACGTATCTACCTAAGTAACTCACCTACTTCCACTAATCCTCATTGTGTTATCTTTATAATTTTTTCTATCTTTAAAAAAAATGTACCTACCCAGATAACCCACCTACCTCCACTAATTCATGTTTGGTGAAGCGAGTAATCTATATTTGTTAATAATATAAATAAAAAAGTTATGCAACAACCTTTTTTTTTCTTCAAAACTCTCCATCTATTCTCTTCAAAACTTTCTCCAACAACTTCAAATATAAATATAATTATATAAATATTTTTATAAAAATAAAATAAATTAATACAAAACATAATGGATTTATTAAAAAAATATAAAATCAATACTAATAACTAGTATATTTTACACATATTATACAAAATACAATTTTTAAATTAAGTTTATATAATTGCATCATCTTTTTAAATGATATAAAAAATATTTTTATTTTATTTTATTAGACATAAATTAATTTATAATTGATTAAAACTATATATTATATATAAAGGGAATATTTTTTTCCTCTAAATTTTTCCCAATAATTTCTTTTCTCTAATATTTTTCTTCTAAATATTTTAATATATAAATAGTATTATAAAATAAATCCCTATATAAATAATATAAATAGAACAACTTCTGAAGAGTATTTTTTCTTCCTAAATTTTTCTTTATATAAATGTTATTATAAAATAAGCTGATACTAAATAATTATTAAAACTAAACAAATATTTGGAAATATAACAAATGAGTCAAACAAATTAATAAAACATATTAATTAATAGCTACTAAATTTAGAATTCAAACAAATTAATAATAATAATTACTAATAATTGTTCCATTTACGTTTCATTAATTAATAGTTATTAATAATAATAACACTATATTTAAAATACAAATAAAAATTTTGTCAAAATAAATAAATAAATGTATAAATTATAAAATTGTTAGTAAAACTATATTAAAAAGTTACTTAATTATAATATTAATATATTAAAATCATATATAAATATATCCACAAAATTAATAGAATCGAAAAATGTATTATTTGTTATTATAAAGTTTTATAATGCACATGATCACTAATTATTATTAAATTTCTATTTTAACATTATTGTTGATTATTAATTATTTTTCTTTTCAATTACTATTTATCATTGATTCTAAATCTGTATTTTTTTTACATTCTATAATATAATACGGAATAAATGTTATAATTATTATTTATTTTATTTAATGCAAATAATATAAATCAAACAACTTCTGCTATATACTTTTTACTCTAGAATTTTTTTTATATATATGTGTTATTATAAAAAAATCTAATACTAAAAATTATTAAAATCAAAAAAATATTTGAATATGTAAAATGTATAAGCAAATGAACAAAAATAATAATAAAATATATTAATCAATAACTACTAGATTTAAAAATTAAATAAAAGTAATGGTAACAATTATTACATTTACTTTTCATTAATTAATAATTATTGATACTATTAACATTAATTTGCTAATTATTAATTTTACTACATTTAGAATTGAAATAAAATATAAATTATAATAATTATTAATAAAATAATATTAAGAAAATATTTATTATAATTTAAATATATTAATATATGAACAAAAAATAAAATATATCGATAAAATTAAAAGAATATATATATATATATATATATATATTTGTTATTAATAAAATTTTATAATATAAATAATTTCTAATAATTATTAAATGTTCATTTCAATATTATTATTAATTATTAATTATTTTTTCTTCCAATTTCTATTTATCTTGATTATGCATTTTGTCCATTTTCTATAATTTAATACTTCATAAATGTTACAACTACTATTTATTTTATTTATTTTTTTAACATTATTATCTAATATAATTGATATTTACATTATTTAAAAAAATATAATTGATATTTAATCTAATAATGATTTCTCTTTATGTTTTTTTTTGTACCAACTCAATTATACTATATATATCTCATTATTTTGTCTAATACTATATGTGTATATTTTCATTTGTAATATATTTATATTCTTTCATTTTTTATTTCTTTTGATTTTATGATGATTGTCTTTATTGTTTTTTATCCATGTAAATAAAAGTAAGTATTATTTTATTTTCATACTACAACAATCTTAATAATCGTTCCAATATTAAAATACTTTTTAATAAAAATCTATTAAATATAACATAAGAATAGGAATTTTTTTTATGTGATGATGAAATGATTAATTTAAATTATTTAAATATATATTTATTTAATCTCTAACATAATTGTTATTTTTTTTATAATAAACATATCATTTAATTAAACTTTAATTTATTGAAATGATTTTATCAAAATTTTATATTATACATATTGTCAAAAATAATTTATGCATCGTATAAATACCTATCTAATGGTATAAAATCAAAATAACTTGAATCTGGACATCAATTTGTCACCATACGTGATTTCTTCTCATTCAATTATATGCTCAAGTTTTTCATCTCATCTACAAACTACATTATTTAAGAAAATAAAAAACATTAATTATATTAAAATATAAGTGACATTTAATTTAATTTAATTTAAAGTATATTTACTATTTCTTGTCTGCTATACCAATTAGTACACGGAATAAAAATATCGTTATCTCCAAAATCAAATCAAATTATTCCAAAAAGTAATTCTTCCTAAAATTAATATAGTTAACATTTTTATTATATATTAAATTTTAATGAATAACAGTTCAATTAAAAACTTTTATTTATCATATCTATTTTATATGATTATTACAAGATTTTAAAATTATTTAATAATTTATTGAATAAATTTAATTTAACCTATCTTTCTTTAAATACGAATAAATAATAATTATAATTTTATTTAAAAAAAATTAAATGATGATTTATCAAAATTTTAAATAAGATCTCAAATTCAACTCTTGTGGACGAAAAAATGACTTAGAAAAGAGATTCTATTAAAAATAATTAATTAAATTTTTTGACAAAAATTAATCATGAACAAAATTTGTGAATAATTTATTTTAATAATATGATTATCCAAAATATTTAATTTATCAAACTGATCTAGTAGTGAAGATTAAAGTAGTAGAGATTAAAATAATATGTGTTTAAATTCTAATACCAATATTATAATTTTTATATATAAAAAATAATTTATCTAAGATTGAGTATGAATAGTTATTGAGTTAATATCAAATATTTAATGGTTAGATAATTAAAATTTAATATATATATTAAATAGAGTAATTTAATTAATAAAAAATATATAATACAAAGATCAAATTAATTTAATGAAGTTACTTTATTCGATAACTAACTATCTAATTACATATACTTATAAAAAGAAATTATAT